CCCAAACAACATTCCATATAAAAAACATATACATACATACATACATATACATTCACATATATATATATATATAGAGAGAGAGAGAGAGAGAGAGTGAAGAAAGAAACCGACCATATCCTGAATAGTAGCAAAAAGTCCAGAATATGAACATATCTCATATATGCATAGCCACCGACTTGTACAGTAACAGAAAAGAAAAGAGAAAAACGTTAAAGATTTCAGTAAAGCACAAAACTGTTCCCTAAGTACACAACTTGCATGCCCCCTTAATTTAATCTTCTCTTTATAAAAAAAAATACAAATTAATAATTCCAATAATCCTGATCAAAACCCAGTACTGAAATTCCTTTAGACAATCAGAAAATCCAAGCTCAGAAAAATGGGTAATTTTCAGTTTTTACCAAAAGCAAGAAGAGAGAAATTATGCAAAATGGAGAAGAAGAGAAAACAGATATGGCGGCGGCGGGTTTAATTACCTGTTGCTGGAGAGAGAAGATGTGAGCCACGCAGCCATAAACAGGGTCTCTGAGTCGGGCCTGAGCCTCGTAGCAGATGGTGACGACGGCGTCGAGCCGCTTATGAACCGGTATGTGTAAAAGCAGCTTCGACACATTGCTGGCGCCGAAAACCTTATGAACCGCCGCGAAGTGAGCCGCGCCTTGTTCCGAGTCGAAATACGGCGCAAAAATGCATCCCGGCACGCATTTCCGCCGTAAGAACTTACACGCGCCGCACGGTCCGCTTCCCCCACCACTGCTGCTGCTCCCTCCGCCGCCGCCGCCGCCTCCGCCGCCGCTGCTACTAGGATTAGCCGAACTCATATTGATTAATTTTTAACTTCTGGGTATGTGATTTAGAGGTGGTGTGATTGGCGAGACATGATTAGGGTTTTCTGGGTGGTGAGATTAGGGTTCGCTTGGGGTGGGTTTAGGTTTAAGTTGATGAGTGTTTAGAAGGTATTTTAATGGTGGGAATTTAAAACGGTAGAAGAAGAAGCCTTTAAAGCTACGCGAGAAAGCAAACCCGCCCCAGTTAGCTGTTTGCGTGAAGCAAACATAGCTTAAGGGCTATATGTATATGTATATGTGTGTGTGTGTGTATATATATATATATGTATATGTATATAGCTATTCTCTCAACTGCCCTTTTCTCATATCTCTTCATTCCTCTCGTGAATTCTCTCTAAACATAACTCATGTTCCTCCCCCCTCCCCCCCCTTCTCCCTCCTCCAAACTCCTTTTCTCTCTTGCTTTGTCTCACTCTCCATCCCTCTCTGTGTGTGTGTATATGTGTGTATATATATATATATATATATGTATATTAGCTGTTAAAATATTTTCGGAAAAACTTTAACGCATTGAAATTAAAAATTTTTCTCAAAACCCATTTCGTATCCACGCAATATATTACAAAAAAATATATATATATTATAAAAATTAAAAAATATATATATATATATTCTTGTTTTTCTTTGAACTTTAATCATAAGGGTAATATCATAACAAAATCTATCTTCAAATGAATTGATTATTAAGAAAATAAATTTAATATATTATTAATAAAAATAATTGAATTTTAATTAGATGTATTATTTAAATTAGAAGAAATGGAAATTGAGAAGTCGAAACGTGTCAAGGGTGTGTCCAAAATTGGGAGTGCGTGTTTTAAGCTGCGTAGAGGGCAAAAGACGCCAACTCTTTTTATCTCTGTATTTGTGTTTGAAATGACTCAGCTTTTTTAATTTCCTTTTTCTATATAATAATCCAAAATTCACATAATGACTCCGTTGCCCACAGGATCTCTATCTATCCCACGTATAAAATTATATTTAATCTTTAATTAATTACCATTTCTAATCATGATTATTTATTAACTTGTACTAATTAATTGAATCCAACTTTTGCCTCTCTTAGTTTGTACTACTTATAGAAATGTACCATCTACATTTATACACATATACTGTTTTAATTCAGACTATATCAGGTATGTAAAGTTAATATTATATTTTTTTAATAATTTAATATCAATATCACTTAGAAAACAATTATTTGCAGTAAAAAAAATAAACCGTTACTAGAAGTCATGGTATAAGCCCCTATACCGACGGAAGTCTCTTATATTTCCCAATTAATTCTTTCAAACCATTTTAAAAGGGTGTTGGCAGAAAATTTTGTTATTGTTGTATTTTTCCAATCCTTCCTAAACAAACATGTCAATCATGCAATGGAATTTGATGTGACGAACATAAATATATGTAATAAAAAAGGTATTTAACCCAACCCAACCCAACTAAAGAATATGTTATGAGGAGGATTATAAAGCAGAAAATGATAGGAACCCTTAACAAAATTGGTCATGCCTTTGATGGTTTGAACCCTAATTAGCCACTTTTGAAACTTTTAAAGATAAATAATGAATGAAACTTAACTTTAAAACATTTATTTACTTATTGTTTGAATGTTCGATCTTACAATAGAGAAAATATGAAACAAAAATATGTATTTGAACTTATGTTTTACAACGTTGAAGGATTAAGAGTGAAACACGAAGGAGACCAACAAAACTTGTAACAGCAGTAAGTTAATCAAGTTTTAAATAAAAGACATTATAAAATATGAATTTCTTTCATTATACTGCTAAAGTTTTTGAAAAGAAAATTTTGATATAGAAGATAT